TAAAATGCGAGAAACTGTTTGAAATTGGAGCGTTTAAAGTTCAAGTAGATTAAAATCAGCCGACCACTTTTGCCACAATTTAAATGATTTGCCAACTTTTAAACCTGAGCTTCAATGTCCATGGAATTATTCTGAATTCCCGCTCCATACGAATAGTAAATATTAAACACTGACGTGCTGATTTCAATTAATTTAAATGCTTCCCTATGGAAAGCCTCAACTTAATTAATTAATAATAAATGCACGTTCGATGAAGTAAAATATTAATTGAGCGCCCGCAGAAAATTAATTACCCAAATGAACAATCTACCGCACACAATGTGCTGTTTGGCCAGGATTTATTTATTTTAAGCATTTTAACGTCGCTTATTGGACCAGCATTAGATTCTCTACAGGATTCGTCGGGTTTAAAAATAAATTGGACACAACTCTATATATGAAGCTCCCACTGCATGCCGCAGATAAATCACGAAAGGAATAACGCAGAAATCTGCTCTAAAATAGCCTTGACATTAAAATATTGAAATTTCCAGCGCAGTCGGGTCGGGTCCAAAAATAACGCCATTCTGCATATTTCATCAGCAATGTCATTCGGTTGAACAATAATCAACACGAGAATAGAATTCGCCCCGATACAATTTCAAATATCGGTCAAACTTGAGGGTTTGATTGGCTGACATTTACCAGCCCAGTTGGAATTATTACGAAAAAAAACCCTTGGGTATTTGGGAGTTACGTAAATTTCGAATCTGGCCAGTGATATGTTTTAGGGTTTCTTTTAGTGCGGTTTTGAAAAAGTGACCCAAGAGGCTTGTGACAAAGACATTGAGGAAGTACGTGTCCGAGCAAAAAAATGCTCATTTCTCAATCCAGCTTAGTAATTTCCAACTGTGCATTAGAGAAGAACAACGGACCAATTTTTTCCAAGACACATTCAAATCCCTAACTGCTCCTTTGTAACAAGCAACTAAAAATATATGGATGTCCATTAATGAATGGAAAAAAAATTGGATCATAAGTTGCGTAGCATCAACTCATCAGCACTCAGTATTTTTTTGGTAAATCTGTTCAAAGCCCAGTTTGGCTGAAATGTTCACATGTTTCCCCACATAAAATCAGCAAATAACTCACCTCTTTACAATCCCATTTCGGGCTGGAACAAATCGTGACCACAGACAAATTTTGAGGGCGGTTCAGCCAGACAACCGATATTTCAGTTAGACTTATCCATGATACTGCAGTAAAATAGTAATCCCTGAAACGAGAAATGGCAAATGCAGCATGGAAAAAGTGGTGCTTTGATTTCAATTTCATTCAATTCATAAATCAACTGTGCTGAACAAATTCTTACAAGTTTCATGGAAAGTTTGTAAATTAACTGATTTTATCTTATTGACTTATTGAGCTCAGCTTGCATGCATTTTGTCATTACTTTGAATCCAGTTATGCATGAAATTGGCTAAGCAATTGCAGCTGAGTAAAGCGTATGATTTATAGAGTTTGCAGTAAATTAACAAACTTTTGAGGAGCCAATTACTCGCTTATTAAAACTTTGCGGACAAATGCATGAAACTGGTGATTTTTTCGCGTTTTCTGACAACAAACTGCGGCTTGCCTGAAGAGGCAAGCAGCCCGTGTTTGCGAAACCTTATAAGAACTTCTTTCGAACAAACACAGCAGTTTCAACTTTGTTAATATTTGCTGATAAACGGCCTGGATTTTGTTGTCATAATATGCTGATGCGCAAAATAAACTTACGAGTTTGATATCACAGCAGGAGGCAATACTTTTCTCGTTTTGATGTTGGAGATATCCGCCAAATCCGCTATCGTTAAAGTGACAACTGGATTTCGGGTTCCCGGCTTCGGATATCGCAGCGATCGTATGTCTGGATATAAGCTGCCTTCACCTAAAGAAAATAAAATTCCAATTACTCCGAAACGGGTTTATGTGTGAAACTTGAGTTTTCCGTTTGTGCATCGACGGTACGCATAAATCGAAACCGAATGGAAGAAATTGGTCATAACTGATGCACTTACCAATTGAACCATACCAGGGAAATCGGAGCTCTTCAACTAGAGTGTCATTGAATGTGGCAAACGCGACTAACAGCCCATCACTTGACATCCACAGTGCTGAATTGGATCTCAAGATTTCCTCTGGAGTGCAAAAACATACGAGAAAAGTGCAGAACTTTAAAATATACGAAATATAATATAATATAAACTTCTACGGTTTCATTTATGTTAATCGATCAGGACTTTTTTGCAGCTAATTGCTTCTTCCAACCTGTAAACCAACAGGAGCGGGGTAACTTAATGCCGGCTCCTGCAGCCGCCTATTCAAGCCCTTTCATCGATAAATCAGCCGATATATCGGGCCCTTCGTTATCCTAATAGCCTGGATCGAGTCGAAAAACCGATTTAGATTAGTTCCGGCATTTACAAAGCATGTACAGAAGGACTACGCCGGGGTTTTCCAGTCAACTGATAACACCGAATTTACCCCGATTTTTATAATAGTTGTACATACTTTCCTGACTGTGTTTCAACGGTGTTTTCCACCATCATCAGTTTATCTAAAATAACAGATAGTAAAAAAAAAATTTCATTAATTTAAAAAACCATCACAGTTCGTCAACAGCTTCATCATATCACACACTAAAATACATCACAATTGCAACACTTTAAAACATTCTAAGATTAATTAGGCCTTAAGATTAATTAGTGATTGTTTTTTATATTAATGAAAATTTTGTTTTACTATCTGTTTTTACTGAAACGTATTTTAATTGATAAATAGACAATAAATGACTGAAGCCCAGGAATTGACTTTGATTTTATAATAGTGTCACAGTGTATTTTAAAATATTTTTATGCGACAAATGTTAGAAAAAAATATTCCCTAACTTTAGATTGTGAATATTTTTCCAGTCGGTTACCTGATTTGAATAATATTTTTATAGAACAAAGCTCTATTTTTGTCCAAAACTGAGTTATAAGATAAGTAAAAATATACCGTGTGTTGAAATACTGACATGTTTTTCAAGGTTTTAATCTTTTTGCGAGCAATATGAGGTCGGCCAGAGAGTAAAAAAGTATATATAGTATATAGCCTCACGTCTTCTGAGTCTGATTTGTCAATAGTCTCTTTACCGTTAGTCGTTCGACAGATATTAATTTTTTATGACCGGTCACACTTTTGAATTTGCGTAGCCAGTTTCAAAAAGGTATCAATTGGGTTTCAAAAGTTTTTCTTATGTAAAAAATGTTCTGTTTTCACTCTTAAGGATACTGTTTATGTTTGCTTTTGTATGGAGTTACGTAGCAATAAAAATAGAGTTCTAAGCTTGTAAGAAAATCTCTGCAGGTCTTTGGAATAAAAACAGTATCGGGCAGAAAATCTCAATGTGACTGGCCATAAAAAAATAATATCTCTCGAATGGCTCAAGATAAACCAACGTTTTTAGATCGAAATTACTCCGAAGACATTAGGCTATAACATCGTATACTTTTTCTGTGTGAAACAGTTGAAATTACGAAATTAGACGAATTTAAACTTTGCTCAAGACACCTTAGTCCAAGAATCGAGCTTCAATTCAAAAGAAAAACTACTCAAATCGGCTCACTGACTGGGAAAATATTCACAGTCAAATTGAGGAAATTTTTCAATTAACTTCTTAAAACCTAGATTGATAAAAATTTCAATAACGTTGTTGTTTTTTCGGATTCTAACTAATATCAAAGTTCCAAAACCGACTGGGCTTCAGTCTCTCTACCCTCGTAAGACTGGTGATTAGTCCAGACGCTTTTGGACGAGTTGGGCCCCATGAATTATTCAACATTTTCCTAAATGTTAACTATTTTAGAGCAACATGGTGAGCCAACAAAAATTTTTGCTTGCCACCACTTAACTGTTCCTCTGATTAAATCAAAACTTTGCAAGAAGTCGCACCTTCATAGAGCCAATCAGGAACACCATGACTAACAACCCCCGGTACTGCACTCTTGGTGATTCTGTAGCCCATGTGTGAAGTGGGAGTTTTCCTATAGTAAACATCGTAATCCTGTACCATGATGAGGCTGTGCCCCTTCGGAGCCCATTGAGCAAGAAGTAGAAACGGATGATCGTCGTTTTCCGGCAACGGCCGTAATGGAAAGTCGTTACTGTAAGCGAAAATGACTTATTACATTTTTTCAGCGGCCACTTTTCTTATAATTATAGAAATAAAACAGCCGAAATCCCGTTAATTAATTACGGCAAAAAAGAACCGACAAAACCGCCGTCACAAAAAGCACACAGAGCTTCATGAAAGGTTTCGTATTTCGGGCCGCATAAATGACATGAAAATTACATCATTTCTGTTCTGGGGGTCAGAACGTTGATATAATTGTAATAAACGAGCGTCGCTTAAAAAACATCGTTAAATAATTTTGCAGATGGAAAATGTTGAATGGGCGGGATATTAAAAGCGGCGCATTCAAAATGGGAGAAAATGCGAACTGACTGTTAGCATCTGCATTAGTGAAATCTGCCAGTTTAAATATCAACCGAGATTTGATGGGAGCTCATTTTTTCCCCAAATTGAAGCTGCATTTAAAATAGGAGCGAGTCATGGAAAAACCCCAACAGACCATAAAGGAAAAAAGCACAAACAACGTGCTCTAAACAATGAACTTCATCCATTCAGTTAAAGGCTGTTGGCTGGGTTTTTCCATCATTTTCTTTACCATCTGTAAGTTGAATTTTAGTTGAAATCGCTTTTAAAATAAAATTGCTTCAAAAGACCCATATTTTGCTTCTCTGGAAAGCGCGACTTTCATGGATTTCAAAACCCCATTGTGAAACTGGAAAATTCCCTAAACGGGCGGGCGTTTAAAACACAATATTCCTGATAAGCCATTGTGAAACTCTCCGTAATAAGAAGCATTCTTCACTTACCCTGAATGAATATCATAAATGGTGTATTGAGCAAGATAAGAGTGCCTGAATAATTTCTTAACGTTTTGTGCTAAAAGGAGGTATCGCTGGTCGGCCGAAAGCTGATATCGATTCGGATTCAGCCGCATCTAAAACAGAGGAGAAAACCTTTTTCTTAGCGCAATTGAGCAAAGCGGCGTTGATCGGCCACTTACGTGTGTTTGATTGGACATAATGGTGCGAACTGAGGAGTTTCCTGCRAATAATATGCTGATGCCGCCCCATTGGTCATTGAAGAGCAATCGGTCATCTRAAACAKATTTTGAAGCCTGCASRAAAAATTAATGGACCAMAACTGCGGCSTCAGGATATTAAAATGTCAATACTTTAATGAACTACCAGGTATAAATAGCTTCAAGTTCCATACTCAGTTAACTGGAACGGGGTAATTTAGTTCGTGCTATGGAAAATTGCTTGTTACAAGCTCATCGATATTTATTCTTTTATTGGAAACGACTACACGCTTTAAAGGACAATTTTACATTATCATGGGGGTTGATTCAGCTCTAGTGCTTTGCAGTTTTTTCTAAACTAATGAACTTTAGCTCACCTGATACCCACACTCCGTTGAACCTGAAAGGCTGAAATTCGTGGCTTAAAATGTCTTCGAGCTCAAAGCGAGTGCCCTTCACTCTGGGCCCTTCATCTGGCGGTGTCAGAAGCACGACTGAAGTCACAATTAGCGACAGAACCACCACAATAACCAGCAAAGCTATGAAGATGCCTCTCCAGTTTCTTTGAGTTGTGTTGCTTGAAACCAACTGCAATAAAAAAGTCGCAATTTACCTCCAAATTAGTCTTCCATCTAGTGGAGCTACGGTTAATCCAGAGCAGTTTAAGGTGCCACCGAACCAAGGCAATTATAAAATAATTAATTAGTTGAGTTTTTTGCTCTCGGCTGAAATTGCGAATTAATTACTTCGAGCCCTTAGTAGAACTGCTGAATATCTTTCCTGCTTAGTTGAAGTAATGCTATCGTTTATTTCACGAAATGACTGTCTTTCTACGGTGATCAATTTTCTAAGGAACGTAAAAAATTTAGTTCATTGTCGGTTTTTCGTCCGCATGCCCCCAGTTGATGAGTGAAGTAAGTTAATTTAACCCGCAATATTTTTTGCTTCTTACTCGATTCGAAAATTGGGCAACTTCATGCGGGAGAATAAAATAATGAAATAAAACGCCGGTTTGTTGCAGGAATGTCGGTCTGCCTCAACAATTGGATCACTCAGCAAAGTCTTGAAAAATTAAATTGCGATCGTGCCTAACAACTTTAGAGTTGGCAGTAAAGTGATTTAAATATTTCATCCGTACAGTTCTGTGCCGAGTTTTATTTTATTTAGTTTTTTTTATATTTTGCTTTCGCCAGTTTCTCCGGAAACTGGACGAAAATTTGAGAAATATTGCACTTTGCCTTTCGACATGGCGCTCAGGATTAAAATGTTAGTACGGTGCCGCAAAATGACTGGACCGACTCTAATTGGGCATTAAAAAGATCAGCTAGACCAAATCGAGAAAAGTTAAGCAGCGGATTGTAAAACTTGAATAAAATCTTACTTGGAATAGGAAATATTCACACTTGAAGTGATACAATTGGAAACATTTTCTACAAGCTAGACTTAAGTTGACTAGCGAATTGAAGAAGGATTTTTTTATCAGGTGCGAACTTTTAAAATTCGGCGTATTTAAGCCCAAGTTTTCAAGCATTGTTTTACAATTCTCTCCATTTTTTCCTCAAAGGTTTCTATAAATCGTGTGCAAATTTCAGGTTTCTGCGTGCTCGACTTTGCGAGTAATGATTTTTTTCGCCAACTTTTGAATGTTTTTAGGCCTAAGTTTGCCATATTGTCAAAGATCGGTCAGAGTTGGGATTGATTTAAAATTTTGATCATTTGTTCCACAATGTTTTGTATAAATGGTGTGCAAATTTCAGGTTGCTACTTGATCGAATTTTCGGATTAGGATTTTTTTTGCGCGGATGTTTGAATGTTGTCGTTTTTAGGCCTAAGTTTGCCAGGGTCTCAAAAATCGGTAGGCGATCAGATTGTTTTAAAATTCAAATATTTCTGCCGCAATATTTCTCTTAATCTTGTGCAAATTTGAGGTTGCTACTTGCTCGAATTTTTTGTGTCGATTTTTTGCCAGGCGCAAAGTTTTGAATTTTGGCGTTTTTAAGCCCAAGTTTCCAAGCTTTTCAAAAATCAGTCAACTTTGGGATTGTTGTACAAATCTCTCTATTTTTTCCTCAAAGGTTTCTATAAATCGTGTGCAAATTTCAGGTTGCTGCGTGCTCGAATTTCTGAGTTAGACTTTTTCGCCAGGGGTGAACTTTTGAATGTTGACGCTTTTAGGCCCAAGTTTGCCATCTTGCCAAAGATCGGTCGGAGTTGAGATTGATTTACAATTTTGACAATTTTTTCCTCAATACTTTGCATAAATCGTGTGCAAATTTCAGGTTGCTACTTGATCGAATTTTCGGATTAGGATTTTTTTT